TTCGTCGAGTCTGAAATATTTAGACTAGACATATTGATGAATTGTTTCATACCGCCTCTCCTTTTTTTTAATAAAAGCTGCTTTTTTAAACCTCGGAATTTGCAATAAATTCTAAATTTTTCTTATCGTCGATTTTACTCGCTTAAACAAAAAAATAAGAGAAACTGACGTGAGGTGCTACATCATTTTTATTGCCCTTGTAAGACAGCGCTTAGGTACTTCAAAGAGCTTTTCAACGCGGTGCTGAAGGTAATTTCTGCGATAATATGTCCTTATATTCACAATAAAAGTTGTAAATGGCGTGCTACTACATCTGCACCAGGTACTTTTTATCTTCGTGAAATATACAGAAATAGAAATATATTGAGATAAGGCAACTGTATCGTCATTTCAGGAACGACGTATACCTAATGTGGATCATATTTTTTAAACTAACGGCCGTAAAAGTTTGCGAACTGATTTTGGTTAGTTACCTTTGTCGGAGGATACGTATTTACTTATAAGCCCAGCTCTAGAAGATATATTTTTTCTCTAAAAATATTAATATCTGTCAAAGAACCCCGCACAAAACATTTGGCAATTGAACACCGGTCAATTTTTATGAAACTTTTTATTATTATTAACTATTTATTATTTAAACTTCGTCCTCGTCATGCTGATCAAAAGTCTCAATGGGCACGAAGTTCTACAACCTCTTTCAACCCCCCAAAACCACCCCCAAAGATCAGGGTAATGAACTTGACAGATTACAGGTCAGTTGGCTTACCATAATATTTCACTACTGTAGTCGAGCTTACAGACACTTATACCATTACTAGACTTAAAACTATCAATGGGCACCGAGCCCTGCAACCCCCACCAACCTCCTAAACCATCCCCAAAGGTCAGGGGGGATGCACTTAACAGATTATTGGTCAATAAATCTACCGAAATATTTTACTACTGCAGTCGAACCTACAGCCAGGGTTTCACATTCCACAAGATGGGTGTAGGATGGAATTCAAGATTGAACGGTTTCATAAGCTTAAGCATGGATAAGTGATGTCAGGCTTCGCTAAGAACTGGGGTTGGTCCGACCCCAACCGTGGGATTTGGGTTGGGGGTGGATGGTTCAATTGTCGGGGGTCGGCGTCGGAGAGTATAGAGAGTAGTGATCGTTTAGGTGGCTGTGAGATGGAATTCACGATTAAACATCTACACAACCAGTAAGCAGGGAAATGTCACATGACAGTCTTTGGTAGTTGGTGAGGAGGGAGAGGGATGGGGTACTTGATACAAAAAAGTCGAGTACAAATAGATGAGGTCAAAATATTATAAGTTCTTCATATAATTTTTTTTCATACGTTCATTCGTTAACAAGTTACGGGCCTTCAAAGGTGAAAATTAAAAAGTTATTTTTATTTACAGTCTGTAAACTATTAACTTCAGCATGATGCAAATTTGGTAATCGGTAACACATGCGTACAGCTTATTTTTTTGTTATAAGTGAGGCTTCGTTATGCTCAGAATGCCAGGGACGGACTATGCCCAGTGGTTAACAACCCAAAATTTTTGCAATGATGACGATCGCAATTTACCTGCATCAAAAATAAGTTCCCTGAAGCATTTGCCAACCCTTTTGGTTCAACTCGGTAAAATTAACAGTATTTTTAAAATAAGAGCCTAGAAAATCTTACATACTTTGTACATAACACAAAATAGAAAAAAATCAAGAATAAGTTAAAGTAAGTATTCAACCCCAAATATTGATGTCCATTTAGACGTTTATCAAAAACGTATAAACTTATTAAATTACCCACTATTAATGTATGGGCAGGAATAGTGAGGTCCATATGTTTTTGAGGAACGTCTGAATGGACATCGATATTTGGAGTTTTTGCAAAATAACTTGTAGCCACTATTAGACGATGTTCCATTAGACACCCGAAGAAACGTTTGGTTCATGCACGATGGGACTCCACCCCATTTTAATATTGATGTACGAAATTATTTATCCATTGTGTTTAATAATAAATGAATTGGGAAAGGAGGACCAATTTCATGGCCACCACGTTCTCTAGACTTTAACCCGATCGACTTCTTCCTGAAAAGTTTAGTATATTCAACCCCAGTATAGACAAGGGATGAATTGCTACAAAGAATTAATCTCCATTGTGATAATATTAGACATACCCCAGAAATGCTTTTTCGTGTACAAACAAACAACGTTCTAGACTTAGGAAGTGTGTGGAGTTGGAAGGTGGTCATATTGAAAATGTATTTTAAGAGATATCTTTCTTTTCAGTTATTTTTTTAACTTACTTTAACTTATTCCTATTTTTGTCTATTTTGTGTTGTGTGTAAAGTGTGTTTGTCAAATTTTGTTAGGAAAATTTCATTAGCAGACAGTAAGATTTTTTAGGCTCTTATTTTAAAATATATACTGTTCTAACATGGTAATTATGTCTAATTAAAAATTAAGAGCAAAAAATGGTGAAGGCGCAGCTCGATGTGTACTGTGACGTAAAATCACAAATATTTCCTAAACTGTTAATTTTACCGAGTTGAATCAAGAGGGTATAATTGTTGGCACATTGCTCAGGGAAGTTATTTTTTATGCAGGCAGATTGGGATCGTCATCTATGCAAAAATTCTGGGTTCTTAACCATTGGGCATAGTCCGTCCCTGGCGTTCTGGGCATAATGAAGTTTCACTTACACCATCAAAAATAACTTGTATGCATGTGTCATTGATTACCAAATTTGCATCTTGCTGAAGTTAGTAGTTTGGAGACTATAAATAAAAAAAAATTTATTTTCACCTTTGAGGACCCGTAACTTATTAACGAAGGCCCTTATAAAAAAAATGTATATGAAGAAATGATATTATTTTCACCTCGTCTATTTGTACTCGACTTTTTTTATCAAGTACCGGGACACCCTATATAAAAAAATATTTATAATTCACCTGTTTTATGTACCAATTCAGTACATCTATATCAATCTTAATTCTTTAAAAAAACAGTAGAATTACAATAATTGTTTTTGCATAATGTAATGCCATTTATTTCTTAAACGATTCAAGACATGAAAGTGCTGTTCTTGCTGTTCAACTTATGATTTAAAATGATTGTGACAGTTAATTTTTGAACTGTTTTATATTTATTGCTGCTTTTGTATTGTATTATATTTAATCTGTCTTTTGTATCTAAATTAGTTGAATTACACGTACAATTTTTTTAAGACAATCATTGCCAACTGTTTTAATTTAAATGAATTATTTGCTGACAAAAATGAGTTGGACTATTATCAAAAAATATGACTACATGCCTAACTGAATTACTGCTAAATATATTAATATTCATAGGGAGTGATTTCCGTTAAGTCGCGAATATGTTTACAGATATCTATATTTTTTTAACTGTCACTTACTCACTGAATATTTTTATTTAACTATTAGGAGACCTAAAGATAGCACGCAAAATGAATAGTCGAATGTATACTTAGCACCATACCTAAGTTATTTTTGAAGGAATATTGACACTTTTATTCCGTCCCTAGTAATTTCTGAAATATCTGGGTGTATGTAGGAAAACAGTTAATATTTTTCGGTCAATGTAAGTCTACGCAAAATTTCCTGTCGATTGATATACATTAATATATAGGTTGAGGATAACAAAAATAGTAGATTTTTATTTATTTATTTATTTGTTTTGTTTTTTTTCAATTCAATTTTATTTACAATTTATGGAAATATACGTATTAGAAACAAGGTCGAAAGAGTATTTTTTATTTCACATTTCTTTATCTTCTTTATTCTCTTAGTACTACTAACAAAACCTAAGTTATCATTAAGCTTAGTGCGGCGCGGAGTTTTACAGAACCGTAGTTAGGTTACGAATGAAAATATTAATATGTTTATAGAAAATATGTCGCAACATGGTACTATTACCAAAGAGCAAGGCTAAGTAGGGGATAAAATACCTAAATTTAAATAACACCTCTTACCCGATAAACCTTAGTGTTGAGACAAGGCTTCCGCGGCATATTGGAAGGAGTTAAAACATATTACTACCTGCTTCTCTAAGTTTTCTTTAGTGAAACGGCGACGTTTATCACTTAATATTAACTTGTGTAGAGAAAATTACCGTTCAACGTCTAATGTTGACAACGGACAACATGAGAAATTGTTGAAGCATGAACTATATATTAATATATTTGCTGGTAACTCCTGATATGTACCAGATAAAACTTTACATAATATGTTTCCCAAAATGGTGTATCCTGGATTTTTTCCAACACTCTTTGCATTTTTTCTTTTATCGCACTATTGACTGGGCGTATATTATTGGCATCGTATATATTTTTTGTACATCATCCATTATATCAAAAATTGTTCATTTAGAGATAGTCCATGTGATTCCAATTTACGGAATTACGGAACACTGAGTTCTCTAGTTTGTTTAATGGAATATTGCTTGAAAGAAAGGCGTCTATAAGTTCATAGAAAAATACAGAGTCTTCAGCGCTGGACGAGGCATGGCTCTTCAAATGTCTTGTCACTTTAGTTTTGTCGCAAGAATTTATAATGCGTTCACACACAGTACAAAACAGGTCATTTCTTTTAATACGTATGACCATGTAACTTTTGGGATCACTGTCAAACCAGATTTGAAATAACTTCCGTCTATTTCTTTTCTCTTTTGGAATTTTACTTCACTTTTCCCTCCAACTGATAGTTATTAATGTAAATTATGTTACTATTTATAAATAGTTATTCTAATACACACGGCGAATACAATTTAAAGTAAAAATGAAAGGTATCGACTCGACACCAACTACTACAAGGTTCCATAAATAACTGAACAGTTCAAAACGCGAGTCAGCTGCGAAGGCCACCGACCCCCGCGCCGGCTCTGTTAGACTCTGCACGTGCACTAAGCCTAGTTACCATAAATTTTATGACATTAAAGATATTTGTCGTAATATACGACGCTAATAGCCTTATCTCTGCCTTTGCAGATTACTCGGCTTCAGACGGGCGATGCCAGTCACCGGAAGGCTGCTGAACATGACGACGGAGCTGTACCAGAAGGCGGAAGGCGACCTATTGAACACGTTCTTCGTCTCCCCGTCCGACAACCTGTGCTTCCACGGAAAGTGCTCCTACTACTGCGATACCTCGCACGCCATCTGCGGAAATCCCGACACCCTGGAGGGAAGCTTCGCGGCTTTCCTGCCATCCAGCAAGCTGGCCCCCACCAAGGTAGGAAATGAGTGTTATTAACTTTTTTTAATAAAATCGAGTGGGCTCATTCAGGGCCGGAAATTAGGTTTGTGTTGTACGGATCGGTAACGAACTCGGTTATAATTTTAATGAGTGGCAGTTTTAAATTTGGGTTTGGGAATTTGGAATACCCCGCGGTATGATAATACAATTGGCTGACTTAAAACAATAGCAAGTGGATAATTTAAATCAAATATTGTCGGCGGGAGTTTCGAATTAAACGTGCCTTTCCCGCAATTTTGCCGTTCTCTCAAATTATTTTCTGCAAAGACAGAATATTTTAAACATTTATTAGCTGATCTATTTAGAGTTTACTGAATAAAAATAATTTTATGACACTTTATTTTCAAGCACAAAGGAAAACGATCTTCTTTCCTAAATTCAAACTTTCTTGAGGATACTTTACAATTATGGCCTAAAATAGAATTATCTGATTTTGACGAGAGACAAATTTGCAAAGAACCCCGCACAAAATCAATGGAAAATGGGTCCCAGTCGATTTTGCTGAAATTGCAGTATGTTATAGTTTTTGACTTTCTGAAAAGTTGTCATGGGCCCAAAGTGATCCTATGACCCTTTGATTGTTTGATCCTTTCTTTCGTTACTGTTTAATATTAATGTCCCCTTTTAGTGTAATAGTTGTGACAAAAAATGTACAGTTTTTGACAGTGACAGTGTCATTCTATTCTATTCTATTCTATTCTATTCTATTCTATTCTATTCTATGAATAGTTTCAGAGATAAATATGTGATTTTGGCTGTAGGTCTGAGTAAGCTTCGCGAAGTTTCAAGTTGATGGATTCAAAAACTGAGTCATGTAATGAATTTTGACCAGTAGGTACAATGCTTTTGGGATCACTGAACCTGAATTCGGGGATAGCTTAGCTACGAGTATCTAAGGTCGCCTGGAGGTCAGGTAAAGGTCGTTTCAGGGTTAAACTGAAGAAAAGACGTATTAAATTTTGACCAGTGAGTGTATAGGTTCTTAGGCTGGCAGAATCTGAATCTGGAGATAGCGTAACCCTAAAGGTAACCTTCAAGTCAATTCAAGGTCATTTCAAGATCAAACTAAAGAAAAGGCTTGTATGTATTGAATTTCAACTAGTGCGTATACAGGGTGTTAGTAAATAAGTGCGACAAATTTCAGGGGGTGATTCTACATGAGAAAATAATGCCAATTTGCTTATAAACGTATGTCCGCAAATGATTCGTTTTCCGAGATACGGGGTGTCAAAGTTTTTCTTCAAAACTGACGATTTAATTTATTGCTCCGAAACCGGTCGAGATGTGCAAATGAAATTTGGTGGGTTTTAAGAGGTAGTTATTACGCATTTTTTGACATACAATTAAGAATTTTATGTTCATCATTGGAGCGCGTACGGGTAATAATCTCAATTTTTTTAAAGAAAAAATGGTACGCCTCTGAGATATTACAAATTAAAAATCATTTTTGAATTCCTCGTTCAATTTGTGACAAAAAATCTCTCTTGCCTTTTCTTCGTATGGGGCGCCGTTTTGATGCAAAAAAATAAAACACCTTAACGCGCATTTTTTATTTCTTTAGTACATTCCCTAGTAGGCTACTGTCAACATTTGTCCGTTAAAAATGTCAAATTAGCGTTTCGTAATTATTAATTCATTAAGCTTTTAGTTTGCTATAATATTAGTGTTAATAAGTAATTAATTTTCCTTTTATCGAAAAGAATGGAAAATTTTACAAATGCGGAATTGTCAGACATGCATTTTGTCTATGGTTGAAGTAATGGAAATGGTGGGCAAGCTCGACGATTGTATGCTGAGTTGTATCCAAGACGTAGGGTACATCATCACACAATATTTGCTCGTCTTCATCAACGTTTGCGCGAAAATGGTTCATTTAAGAAACAAACAGTTGACTGTGGGCGCCCTCGAGAAGTACGAACTGTGCAACTAGAAGAAGCAGTTCTCGAGTTAATTGCGGAGTCACCTGAAACAAGTACTCGAAAAATTGACAACATATTGAATGCAAGCAACTTCACTGTATTTAATATTCTTAAAGAACAGCAATTGTATCCGTTTCATATTGAACGTGTGCAAGCTCTACTACCTAGAGACTTTTTTCCGCGCCTATTTTTTACCAATGGATTAATCATCAAATCGCTCAAATTCCTAATTTTTTAAATGCCGTTTTGTTTACTGACGAGGCTACTTTTGGACGACAGTGTATACGAAATTTCCATAACAATCACTTATGGGCTGAGGAAAACCCCCATGGAATCTTTGAAGCTCGTTTTCAGCATCAGTTTTCCGTAAATGTATGGCTTGGGGTAATTGATGATCATTTAATCGGTCCATATTTCCTCCCACAACGACTAACAGGTGAATCTTATCTTAATTTCCTACAAGAAGAATTACTTGTTCTTACAACAACACCTATGGTACATGCATGATGGTGCACCAGCCCATTTTAGCATTAATATACGTAATCACTTAGACACAGTATATCCAAACCGTTGGATAGGTAGGGGAGGTACGGAACATTGGCCTGCTCGATCGCCGGATTTAAATCCTCTTGATTTTTGCATTTGGGGTTTTCTTAAGTCATTAGTTTATTCCACTCCCGTTGAAAATGTTAATGACCTGAGGAATAGAATTATAGTCGGCTGTGAGATAATAAGAAATATACCAGGAATATTTGCGCGAATATGACAATCAATGAGGTGAAGAGTTGAATCTTGTGTCACGTCTGAGGGAGGTCATTTTGAACATTTGTTGTAGCTTTGCGCCTTTTCAAAATTTTATTAGTGTTATTTTCTGTTATTGTTCTGGTTTAATGTTATTATATTAGGTAGTTCTTGATTTGTAATATCTCAGTGGCGTACCATTATTTTCTTTAAAAAATTGATATTATTACCCGTACGCGCTCCAATGATGAACATAAAATTCTAAATTGCATGTCAAAAATTGCGCCATAACTACCTCTTAAAACCCACCAAATTTTATTTGCACATCTCGACCGGTTTCAGAGCAATAAATTAAATCGTTAGTTTTTAAGAAAAACTTTGACACCCCGTATCTCGGAAAACGAATCATTTGCGGACATACGTTTATAAGCAAACTGCCATTATTTTCTCATGTAGAATCACCCCCTGAAAATTTTCGCACTTATTTACTAACACCCTGTATAAGTTTTTTTTTTGGGGGGGGGGAACTGAATTCGGGAATAGCTTAGTCCTACAAGGTCACATTTAGGTCAAGTTAAGATCATTTCAAGGTCAAAGTAAAGAAAAGGCCTTTCACGAATGTTAGCCTGTAAGTATGTATGCTTTTGAGGTCGCTGAACCTGAATTCGGGGATAGCTTAGCCCTATAAGGTGATCTGCGGGGCTTGAATTGAGATTAAGTCAAACGAAATGACCTTGACTTGATTTCCAGGTGGCCTCTCCGTTGGAAATTAATATAATCAACTTGTTATAAATCAATCGTATTATTTATTTATTTATTCAGACAGTACACTACCCTACAGAAATTCTAATTACAGGGTACGTACAACAGAAAATTACATCATATGCTGCATCATATGAGATACCTAAGTAAATTAAACAGTAACAATACAAAATATTGCATACTTAATCAATCAGACGAAACAGTAAAAAAATGTAGAACATATAAAATTTAATTTGCAAATGTAATTTTTTTAATTATGGCTATATTACAATAAAAAATATCAAACTGATTTTAAAACAAATTATATTATCACACTTTTGAAAGAGAGGAGAATATTTTTGAACATTAATTCGTGACACAAGTAAATAAAACAATAAATAAAAACTAGATGATAATCTAAGTATATATGAAAATTTAACGATACAAAAAACGATTTAAAAGTAAAGAAGGTCAGTCAATTGCGTTATTACTCCAGTCGGCAGAGGCCGAAAAGTTACTGTTGGTGACATTTTCTTGATAACTCGGAAATAACTACACAGGTCTACTTTAAATGATGAGTATAATAACAGGCTAATTTGCTGACAAAGTATTTTATCAGGAAAAAAAGTTATTAACAATTTAATCGTGAAAAAAAATTTTTTTAGTAGTTTTCTTTAAATAACTCAGCGGGATGACTTTGTACGAAAAAATGCTTAGGACATGATTTTGTTCGTAATAAAAATAGCTACAAAATGGCGGTGGTCCGATTACGAAATTTGCAATAACAAAGCCGTGAGATTGAAAAAACGGTATAAAACGCCAATTTTTTTAAGTTGCTGTAAAAATGTCAATTATAAACAAAAAGTGATAAAACTTTCGAAAACTATAGTTCAATATATATACAATAATGACGCTAAAGCCGAAAATCAGGAGAGCAAAACTTTTTGTTCTATAAGGTGTTATACATTCATCGGCATCTGAAACTCGAAACTTTGCCAAATTTGTTCGAAGCTTTGCTGACACTTGAAATTTGGTACACACATAGTGTAAATATGCAGAAACCAAAAGCAATTTGCAAAATTCAAGTATCTTCATTTTTGCAGTTTTGGTAAGGTTTTATACGTCACCCTAGTTTTATACGTCACCGTTTTTTTAATTTTTGGACGTATATTTATGTATATTTATAAAATATTCCATTACGGTAGATTAGCCAGCATAATTACCTACAATTTAAAAAAATATATATTTTCATCGTTTAGATCCTAAGCTACTTAACATTTTGCGCCTGTTAGCCGTAGTCGTACATTATTCAACATATTAACATAAAACAAAATCGTACGTGTGGGGTAAACCTTTAACTTTTCATTTTCGAGCGCGAGCTCCGCTCTTCGGCGCTTGTATACTATTAGAAATATGCAACAGTAAATTTAAACAATTGTTTACTTAAAGTTAAAGGTTTACCCCACACGTACGATTTTGTTTTATGTTAATATGTTGAATAATGTACGACTACGGCTAACAGGCGCAAAATGTTAAGTAGCTTAGGATCTAAACGATGAAAATATATATTTTTTT